TAAAATCCCCACCAGTGAAGCTGGAGCTTTAACATTCTAGGACTCAAGAACCAAAAACGTGATAATAACTGATCCATCCCTGGGACAAGGGGCATGGACATCCCGCCTGGRCACAGGGATGCTCTTGCTCACCACGAGGCTGGTTGGACATGGGAGCAGGCTGCCCAGAGAGCTGGTGGCACCTCCGTCCTTGGAGACGCTCTGCGTCTGCTCCAGCGAGGATCCGGACAATGGAGCCGTGTCCTCCTGGACGCGCGAGGGTCCTTGCTCAAGCAGGCAGCCGGGCTTTGGGCCRTTCTACTGATGTATTTGATTAACATGGAAGTTTCTGTCGCTGCCGGAGCGAGCAGCGATGCCGGCTCCGCCGCGGGATCCCTCATCACTGCGTGTGCTCCCAGGTGCCACTGGATGTGGCCGTTGACAGCCCAGCAGCCCCAGTTTTGCTCGGTTATCCTTGGGGCAGGGACACGCAGCTGGAGAGACCGCACCGAAACTTCACTTTCTCAACCCAAACTTCACTTTCTCAACCCAAAGGCGCAGCAAGCCTGGACTCAGGTAGTGAGGTGCTAGCTCTCTCTCTCTTTGAGTTTAGCTTAGCCAAAGGCTCTGCAGAGCCTGAGTTTGGGTTTGGCACYGCATTTTGGCCACATCCGCATTGCCCCGAGCAGAGGCGAGCGCGTTCAGACCCTTACAAGCCACTAACCCAGGCGCTGCAGCCCGAGCGAGGCGCAGCGAAGCGCCAGAGAACGGAGCAGCATCGCCTGAATCCCTCCCTGCGTGAGCTACCTTCCAGCACCTTGGGACACCAGGCACCTTTTATCACCTTGCTACTCTTTCTGTGTGTTTTTCCAGGGARAGAGAATAAAGAAGAGATTATTGCAGGCGAAAGGGTCTGGCCATCAAAAATGCGAGGAAACCTAGTTATTCGACTAAGCAAAAAGCCACTAAGTGATTTGCACGAGGAGAATAAAACGAGCCCGCCGCGTCCCTAGAGGTCTGCAATATGATCTTCAGAAAAGGGAGCCTGCCAATTTAATCGCGGCAGGAGTTATTTAATTTTTTTTTTTTTTTTTTACACACAGGTATAGTTTTCAATAAACCTACACATGCCTATAACACGGCGATGGCAGATGTGTCTCGATTATTAGCGGCGGGCTCCGGGGAATTGGCGCGCGGAGCTGGAGATCCGCACGCAGCTGTTGGCACGGGAGGGGCGGGACATTGCAGCACACACACATGTTCCTTAAGTGCAGCAATGTTCGGTTATTTTACTGCAGGTGTATCGCGGAGAGGGAATTTAATAACTTGSTGTATACAATGCCAATAAAAGGGAGAGGATCCTCGCGCTGCTGCTCACGGGCCGCGTGTGAACGGGCGCCTCCGAGCGCAGGCGCGCTCCGGTGCTGGAACCGGGGTGCTAGTGCCTTTCTCATTTACTACAAAAAAGTGCTCAGGCCCTTGGAAAGAAATAGAATAAAACAACAAAAAACCCTGAAGTGCACTATAAGCTATTGGGAAAGAGCTCCTGATGGGGTTATGGGGAACCAAAAGCACCTGCRTGCATCCGTGCAGCTGCCCGGGAGGTGTCTGCAATGCGGGTATCTTTGACATAGTTACCCGCCCGGGGCTTAAAAACAAAGCCTGGTTTAGTATACCACAGTAGATGCATTAGTGTATGCATTGARTTATGCATTGGTCTCAGCCTTCTGCTGAAGGAAGCACCGAGGAAGGACCTTTTAAAAGGCTGCATCAGGCACAAAGATAATCCCGCCTGCTTTTTTATTTCCCTTCTGCCTTCGCTGGGCTGCTCTTCATATAAACAGCGATGTTGCAACAGCTCAATAATTTGCAGCAGAAAAAGGAAGTCCCAGGACGTCCGGAAGGGAAAGGAGAATGGGAGCAGCTATTTGTGTCCGTGCCCCGCGGCACGAGCGCACGGATTGCACACTCGCTGGGCTGCAGGAATTTCCTTGCACTTGACACCGAGGCTGCACGGCCTTTCATTTCCATTATGCTCATTTTAAAGCTTTCTGGTCATATTTCTGTTATTTCTATACTGAAGGTTTGTCACATACCCCCTCCATTATGTACAATGAGCCTCCAACACTCYCAAGTGAAAACCCAAGGCTGTCTTCCTGTTCCCTTGTGGGGAAGGTTCAGGGAATCCCGCTGCAGCTCATGGGGATGGGAAAGAGATGGCAAAGGGGCTGATTCCAAGGATTCCCGGCCTCCCTGGGGATCCATCCTTCAGGCTGCCCCAAGAGGGGAGAGGATCCAAGGTCATGCAGGAGAAGGGACCTCATGCAGGAGCCCAGGATGCTGCAGTGGCCCCCAAATACTGGGAGCCAGATCCGATGGACAAGAGCACAGCTGGCTTTGGGGAGCCTTTCCTGAGCACCGAGTAGATCAGGACGTCCAAAGACAATATTTAGGCTCCCTTTCCAAAAGCGTTACCAGCGAAAACAAATCGCCCCCAGACTTGGAGATTTTATTTTAGGTTAAAACACCTTGAAAACAAAGTATCGGTTACTCTGCACTTGCCAGAAAAGCTCAGGCCAAATTTTACAGGAACCATCTAATTTTGGGTTGCCTTGGGAATGCAGGAGCGTTCTCTGGCCACCAGGCTCGTTTTCAGCTCGCTCTATCCGCCGCTTGCTGCGTTAACTCCCGCTCGGTGCCCRGGATGGCTCCGCGCTGCTCCTGTCGCCCGCTCGCCGACGAGCCCGTCACCATCCCACGCGGCATCCGTGTGCCCGGATCCTCGTGCATGCAGCAGTATCAGTGTTCCATAAACTGGGGGGAATCAGCCCAGCCCCTCGTCTCTACCTGCCCTGTGGGCAGGCGAGCAGRGCCGTGGGCACGCGCTCGTCCTGCAGCGCGGAGGATGCGCTCGCATCCCGCGGGATCACCCGCCCCGTGTCCCCGTGTCCCCRTATCCCCAGCTCAGCCTCTTTCCTAGGGACACAGTCTGGCTTTGCCACTTGCTTTTCTGCTGCATCTCCCACCCGGATTAGCTCATCTTTCCTAAAACCTATGAAAACCCACCCCAGAAACCTCGCATACAGACTGGTCCCTGCATTTTATCTTCAGCCCGGAGGTTTGCACTTGTTAATTATCTGGGGGATCCTGACAGCTCTGCGGGCTGGGGAGCGGGCGCAGAGGGTCCAGCCTCAGTGCTCCATGTTATTCCTCTCCATCCTTGCAGGAATTCAAGTGACTCCTATTTTACGAGTCCCTCTCCTCCCTCCTGCCCGAGCCACCCAGTTCGTCCCCATTTCCAGCAGGCTTCAAGAACTGGTACGTGTGCGGCAGGGGGAAAGACCCCGCTCCATGGATGGAACTATTCATTATTTGTGCTTTTCATTGACTTTTTCCTGATATTCCTCAAATTTTCCCAAGGAAACCACAGAGAAGAACAGCAAGCAGTTGCAGAGGGAGCAGACCAGCGTGATCCCATGCAACTTCCCCATCCAGCCTCTGTGGGTTCCACACCATGGACACGGAGACCCAAAGAAACCGCTTGTATGGAGAGCTGACCTTTGTGGAAACTCCAGGATTCACCCTTCAAAGTGCCCAAAAGGACCATCGGGAAGAGCAACACATCAACTCTACTCCTGAGATTCCAGTTTTGGGCCACTTGCCTGCACTAGACGGTGGATCCCTTCCAGGATCCCGGAACACCCATCCCATGGGCACCATGAGCTTGGGAAGAGGAGGCTCGTGGCGAGCACGGCCTTGCGAGAAGAAGCCCATTGGYGCAGTGATAATTTGACCTTCTCTGTCTGCTGGACCATAAGAGGAATCCTGTGGCCAGCAACAGTTCAATAAGGAGAATATTTGGATTTTGGACACTTCTTTAAGCCTGATTCTAGGTCACTTGCTGCTGCAGGGAACCTGGGTGAAATGCAGGGTCATCTTTTGGCCAAGGAGACTAAAAAATGAGGTGCATTTCTGGGAAAGGGTCTCCTTGGGCTTACACTTGTGCTCCTGCCTTTAGTTCCTGCATTTATTTTTCAGCCCCAAATGAAAGAAAATCCAGCCCGGGGCCAGCAGACATCCCTGACAACCTTGTGCTCGGTAACGCACGGCCACTCACGGCAGCAAGAGGGAAAGGAAAGCTGAAAAAGCCAAAAACACCAGCTGAACCCAAAGCAGCAACGCCAATGCTGCCACGCCAGTGGGAACCTCTGCACGGGATTAAATCTGCAGCATTTGGCCCCAAATCAGCGCCAGGTCACCTCAAGCAGCACCCCGAGTTTTCCAAAGTAAGAAGCTATTGCAGTTATAAAAGCATGCCCAGCACTCTTCAAAAAAGAACAAAAAAAGGAAAAAAACCCACAATCCCAAAAGAATTTAAACACGTGATTAATATTGCTACTAAAATTCAAACGAGAAGTGTCTTTTAAGGAAATCAATTGTCTTGAAACAAAGCGTGGACTTTTGGCTATTGATAGTATTTTTAGACTCAGACTTTCTCTGGAGAGTTAAAAGTATGCAAATGCAAAGTGCACSGAGGCGCCCGCGCACACATGCTATACCTTTGTATTACACTGGCATTTTATTATTTAATTAAACTACTCTTATTTTCCTAGCTCACGCATGCTTCCCTTGAGACGGCTTTGCTGTTAGCCTGCTGGCCTTGACTTCCAGCCAAAAACAATTCCGAAACAAAAAGGGACAACAAATCATATTTCCACAGACATTTTTATCCCTCAATACAACCTTGTTTTCACACAACATCGTGCAGATTTTCTGAAAACTGGGATTTATGGCACGGATTTACGGCGCACGCTCCGTGCGCTCGCAGGGCAGCGGTCAGCGCGCGCCGCGCGGGCAGGGCTCAAGTGACACGTTTCCAAACAGCTTTCCCCATTCCTGGAATATGCCACGGTGCAAGCGGTGCCAAGCGAGCGCCGTGGAGCTGGCGGGGGACGGACGCACTCGAGGCCCCCGCGTGCCGCAGACCGCACCAGCAAGGCCGGAGCGCGCGGGGTGCTTACCTGGTGGCAACCCTGTAGATTCGAGTCCCTTGCATATGACGAGTACGAGCCCCTTTCTGTTTTACCTGTTAATAAAAAAACAAATTGATTAATCAAAAGCGATGTTAGAAGAGGTGCGTATGTCTTCTGCCAGTGTTCAACATGGGCTGCTCGCCACGTGCTGCACGTGCCAGGTCGGCCCTGCTGGCTGCGCACCAGGCGTGGGCTCCAGCGAGGGTCTGGCACTTGTGCACGCTGCGTGGTGCAGCATCGTGCACGCACTGCTGTGCATGCAGCACCGTGGGTGCACGGCTGTGCATGCACCAACGTGTGTGCATTGCCTGCTGTGCATGCAGCATTGTGCACGCGCTGCTGTGCATGCACCAACGTGCGTGCTGCTTTGCATGCAGCACCGCGGGTGCACTGCTGTGCATGCACCAACGTGTGTGCATTGCCAGCTGTGCACTGCTGTGAATGCACCCTGTGTGCTGCTGTGCATGCAGCACCATGTGTGCAGTGCTGTGCATGCATCAGCATGTGTGCATTGCCAGCTGTGCACTACTGTGCAGCACCATGTGTGCACTGCTGTGCATGCAGCACCATGTGTGCACTGCTATGCACATGGTACCGTGTGTGCACTGCTATGCGTGCAGCACCATGTGTGCAAGGCTGTGCACGCATCAGCACGTGTGCACTGTGCAGCACCACGGGTGCAGTGCAGCACCCGGCCTCTACTCCTTGTTCTCCATTTTTCCCCTCATGAAGGCTTTAGAACACGGGCGCAGCAGCCTGGGTGGTTTCAGCCATGCCACACACACACAAAAAAGGGAAAAAAGTCTTTTCCCACTGGAAAGAGCAGCCTGAAGGGGAGCACAGGGCAGTGCCCCTTGTACGAGGGCCGGGGAGGGAGCGTGCAGCTGGTGCCGCAGCCGGATTGCTCCGGAAGCTCCGGTTGCTGCAAGGTGTGGAGCGCATGGAAGCCCCAGCCGGGTCCGGAGCGCTCCATGCGTGGCAGGGCCACCACCTCCCAGCGCTGCCACCTCCRCGGGCGCACGCGCTCCGCACGCGGGGCACGCCGGCCGGGCTCCCAAACACCATCCCCTTCCAAACAAAAACTCCGCGGAAGCGCGCGGGCCCGCGTCCTGCTCCGCCTGCACCGGCACTACACGTTCCCCCGCATCCCACCGCATCCATGCCCATGCGCCGGGGAGCCTCCGCCCGGACCCCTCTTCCTTTGGGTGGGTGAAGGCAGCGAGGGCGCTGCGAGGAGCGGCGCGGAGCGCTGCCAGGGCGGGCGGCGCGGGCGCAGACGTGAATCACTCGCAGCCAGCCGAGTGTTTCCATGACATCAGTGGGCACGGGGCCAGGGCGCTGCCGAAGCCTGCGCGCGGCCGCGGGCACCCGCTCGGCCTTTTCTCTTGTTGTTGTTGTTGTCGCCAGGGCTTATTTCTGTATTTATTCCCGTATTTATCTGGTTCTCAGGGCGATGCTCCGTGCACGGATCGCCTCGGAGGTGGCCGCTTTCCCGCCGCCCGCRGTGGCATCCCGAGCTCCGGCGTGCTCGTGGCGGGGACCATCCCCGTGCGGTGCTGCGGGGAACGGGAGCGAAAGAAACCCTGGAAAAGTCGGGAAAAGCTCCACACGCTCACACTGCAAGCACCCCACTGCCGTGCTGCTGCTTCCCAGCGATGCCCCTTCCACGAAAAAAGCCAAAAAACCACCCTTGGCACAAACTGCGCGCTTCAAATCAGCGCCGATGCGGCCCCTCCGCTCAGCACTCCCGGGCACGTTGGTCTCAGATAATAGATGTGGTGGCGAGCGGGCGCTGCGCGGGGCGCAGGAGCCGGCGCGAGCGGCGGCGAGCCGGGCGGCGCTCACTGCGGCGTTTTCGAGCCAGCCCTCCAGTACTAGAATGCGGCAGCCGCTGCGGATATTTTTTGGCACCCAGACAACGGTGGCAGTGCCAAGCCCCATGGCTAGAACTGCTCAAAGGAGGCATAAGGGTAGCATTAATCGTGCGAGGCTTTTGCTGCGCGCGGTGCCACCGACCGCGTTTGCAAAACCTACAGGAGCCCGCTAGCAATATTTGCGGCAAATGGGGGGAAAAAAAGGGTGAAAATCAGGAAAAAAAAATGAAAAAAAAAGGGGGAAAAAAGGGGAAAAAAAAAAAAAGGAAAGAAGAAGCTCCAACACAGACAAACAGGAAATTGTGTCAGACACCTGATTCTTCTCCCTATGCAGAGCTGCAGGGTTAAAATGTGCCATTTGTCCCGAAATGCAACCCTGCATTTCTGATGCTGCAGCGATAGCAAAGCGCTGTGGAAGGAGCTGACCCAACTGCWGCCCCATGAGTGTGCGCTTGTGCTTAAGGTGATGGGCAGAAAAAGCCTCGCAGGGGCTGCGTGCAGCGGTGCTCTGGGCGTGCAAATGCACACACACGGATACGGGCGCTGCTCGGAGCGCACACAAAGGCAGGACTGCAATCCGCAAATACCCCGGGAAAACCCCCCGTCAGCCCCCCAGACCAACGGGGTGGCCCCGCGAACGCCCCCCGAGCCTTTTTTGTTCGGCTGTGGAAAGAAAAGCGGAGCGGCGCGGGGTTGCCAATCAGTCGGGGAGGAAGCCGCTCGCCTCTCCATGGTGCACTTTGAAAAATTAATCAAATTAAGTAGAAAATTTAAGCAACGCGCCGAGCATGAATGCAAGGCGCTGGCTCGCCCCTGCCCACGGAGATAGGGCATCTCGCCCCGGCCGCACCGCGTGGTGCAGCGGCYGCTGGAAATGGGGCAGATTCGGGGTTTGCATCGTGATGGCCRTGTTTTTTTTTAGAGATGAGCTCAAAATCCGAATATCCCAATCCAGGCCCCCACGGCCCAGCAGTTGGGGTTTAGTTCTTGGTCAGCATGAAAAAAGGAAAAGGAAAAAATAAAAAGAGGAAGGAATTGCATCAGGGAGTGCAGTTCGAACAACCCAGAATGTGCTTCTGCTCAGGTCTGCAATTTGCCTTAGACATAGTTCTTGTTTTATTATTGCATTTCTAGCATTTTCCCCCACTACTTTCCCCCGTTCTGTCCAACACCCTGTGTCCCAAGCGCACACGGAAGGGAGCCCGACTGCCCTCTTTGAAGGGACAAAGCGGGGCAGGATTCACTTCTCGGGCACCACCATGGGAAAAGCGAAGCTCGGAGCAGATTTTGGGAAAGAGCTGGAGGCGCCGCAGAAGGGGCTGAGCGTTGTAGCTGCCCGTTCATGTTCACCCCATGCACTGGCACCACGAGGCAGTTCCTTCCCTGATCTCCTCTCCGTGCACTTCCTTATTTCCGTGGAGCTGGGCAGCGCACGAGGAGCGTCGCCGCTGCCGGCTGCGGGCTCCGCGCGGCCCCGCTCTGCGCAGCGCCTCCAGATCCGCCAGCCCCACTGAGTGCAGCACAGGAACCACGCCGAAACCCACAGAGAACTAAAATCATTACATCTGAATAGATAATAGTGCAATAGCTGTGGTGGTGCACGCACGGGCTGCTCTGCCTGCGGGCTCTCCTGCATGCCCAGCTCGCCCCGTTTGGCTAAAGATGCAGCTGAATGCAGTGACCCCGCGGCAGGGCACAAAACACCCCACTTATTCCGGGGGGTTCACACTGTGACGAACGCGATGGGGCGGCGAAGGAGGGACGGTGTTAACGAGCTCTTCCGTGCCCGGTGCTTTGGGGAATTATCGGCAGCAAGGGAAAATCCTGTGGATTTTGAGCCAAGTTCATGCAGTAACAGGCACAAGACGGGCAACATGGCACGGCCACGTCTAAGGCAGGGCCCTCGCACCCGGTGTAAACCAAAGCATCAATCCCAGTAATTTTAGGGCCATCGCACTCCAAAAGGAGGATTTTGCTCTGACACYGATGCGCAGTAAACGGCAACGGGTCTGAAAGAGACATTATGAGGCCACAGCAAACCTGATTGCGAAGGGAGATATATTTTCTTAAAAAAGTACCACCAAAATGCAAAAAAAAAAAAAGGCGGAAACATGTACAAGATATACCCTAAAATAACGCTACAGATCCCACTTGAACGACCTAAAGCACAGAAAGTCCGAGCTAGAGCAGTTCTTCAACACGGACTCATTTCATCGGGCTAGCGCTTATGCAAGGTTAAATCCTGGATGTCCCTAAGGCCAAACTACTTCCTTACACGCACACGTGTGCACAAAAATCTGCATGCACAGACGTATAGAAATACAATTACATATATATATATATATACACATTCTTTAAGGTGAATTGCAGTGATGCCAGCTGCGCTCAGGCACGGTATGAACATGCACGGCTGAGTTTCTGCCACCGATCTCGGGTCAGGAAAAGGAGACCATGCACCTGACTGCAAAAAAATGGGGAAAAGGGAGCATTTATCCAAGAAATCCTGTGTTTCATCCGGCTTCMTCAGCGTCCTCAGGCTGCTTTGCTTTTCCCGCGCACACGGAGCTGGACTCTAAGGGAAATAATTAGCATTGCTGGCGTCGGAGCACCTGGATGGCTCTGCATGMGACAAATGTTGGGAAGAGACAAAAACTCCATGAATCCCACTCGCCACGTGGCCGCGTCCCCATTCCCAGATAGACAAGACTCAAGGGATGGGCAGGGGCTGGGAAGCGGCGCTTGGAAACAACACAATGCCATCAAAAGCACGGCAAAATGCGAGAGGATCCACATAACAGAAAGGGGCGACGTTTTCTTAAGGCTGTGAGACAAATAAAAGGCCCTTGCAGTAACAATGCACCGCGCTGAGGTGCAAAATCCCATCCTCCGTTTCCCCCCAAATTTTGCTTATTGTTAATATCGCTCAGCCCAGGAAATTCAAGAAAAATTCCTGGCGTTGATCGTCACCGCGATTTTGACCTTTAGAAGCGCTGGGGATGGGATGGCTGGGATTAGCTAAACAGGGAAAACAAACCCGGCGCTTCCAAGAGCAGGAATGTTCTGGTAAAGATATCATAGCGCATTGGGAAATGCCCGGGTGGCTCCGATCCGTGCTATCCAGCAGAGGGCATGCATTCCCTAATAAGATTTTTACACTTGGGAAGACCATCTTATATCCC